TTGACTTCTCTTCTGACAAACATATTCATGAAAGATAAAGAAGAGAAAGAAAAGAATTAATAATTCTCACATCTCTGAGTTCATGTTATAATCACAATGCATACTCTGAATAAGAAGATATTAGTGAGATGTCTACTTAACTCTGAAATAGATATTAACTTCATATTCTATTTCTTTTCTTTGATAAAGAATTGAAAGAAGATAGATTTATCAGACTATATGAAATTTACTGATGAAATGAAATATCACTGTTTTAACATAATTCAAGTAAATTGTGTAATCACAGACTCAGAAGAAATCTTTAAGAAGAGCAGTCTACTTCTTCATACAGTTAATATCATAGATGAGAACATTATTCTAGATCTTCTGTGATTGAGAGAAAACAATTCTCTCATTGACTGAGTCACTCAGGTATAGCAGTACTGTCTCACTGATAAAGAGACAGTGATAGAGAAATCTGAAGAGTTTCATCAGAAGAATCTTGAGAAAAAGATTGAGTCAATATACTGTATAGCAGATGATTGAGACTTAAGAACAGATGAAGAAGTTATCACTCTCACTGCAAGATTAGCAGTAGTATCTGTCATTGAAGATGAATATATATAATATCTCTTTACAGATTTTAAGAATATCTTTTTGAAAAGAGAAGCAGTGAAGTTTCCTGACATCAAGATATAATATAAGATTTATCTTGAAGACAGTGTAACAGTGCTATATAAGTCTCTTTATAACTTGTCTGTAAAGGAATTGAATATTCTGCAAAAATATCTTAAAGAAGTGTAATCAAAGAACTGAATATATTTATTAAAAAGTTCAGCAGAAGTATCTATACTCTTTGTACTTAAGAAGAATGATAGACTACATCTATATGTAGACTACAGAGGTCTTAATAAGATGATGATTAAGAATCACTATTCATTATTATTAATTAATGAGATGATCAATTGATTATCTGAAGTAAAGATGTTCTCAAAGATTGATATACAGAATATCTATTATAGAATCAGAGTTAATAAAGATAATATTTAAAAAACAGCTTTTTATACCAAGTATAGTAATTTTGAATATCTTGTTTTATCTTTTAATCTTTATAACACTTCAGTCATCTTTCAGATCTATATAAATGAGACACTGCAGAGTCTTGTCAACATCTCCTGCATAGTATATCTGAATAACATTTTAATCTTCTTGAAATCAGAGAAAGAATATAATATTCATGTTCAAGAAGTGTTGAGTTACTTGAGACAGTATTAACTTTATACAAACACTGAAAAATGCTTATTCTACATGCAGGAGATTGATTTCTTAGGTTATATTATTAAGATAAATAGCATTTCAATGAACAGAAGCTGAGTCTCTGTCATTGAGAACTGATCAGTACTGTAGATATACTGTGAGATACAGATATTTCTAGAATTTGTGAATTTCTACAGATAATTCATCTATACATATTCACAGATTACTGTCCCTCTTACAGATTTATTGAAGAAAAGTGTGAAAGACAGAAAAATAGAATCATTTATTCTCACTTAAGATACTGTGCAGATATTTGCAGAATTGAAATAAGCTTTCACAGATATTATAATACTGAATCATTTTAACTCTGACTTACTCAGTCAGTATAAGACTGATGTATCTGAAAATGAGATCTGTGAAATCTTTTCACAGTTGATATTAGAGATCTTTCAATATTGAAAGAATCAGAGAATAATCATCTCTGAGAAAACAGATAATGAATTATCTATAAGAGAAGACTTTTTCACAGAGTCTATAAGACACTGTGAATGAAGATCAGTGATTTTCTTCTTTAAGAAGATATCACTCATGCAGAGAAGGTATGATATTCATGATTAGAAGATGTTAATAATTATTGAATTCTTTAAGATTTAGTGATATTATCTTCAGAGTAATAAGTATTCAGTGTAAGTTCTCACTGATTATACAAATCTGCATTACTTCTTGATAATAAAGAGCTTGATAGAATGTTAAGCCAGGTGAACAGAGCTGCTTTCAGAGTATGATTTCTATATCTGATATTATTCAGATCAGCTTAACTCTGTTAACATGCTGTCTAGACAGTCTGATTATAATATCATTAATGTGAAGAAGAATTCTATAAAAGAATCTCTGTCATCACTGCAGAAGAAGCTGGCTGCAGAGGGTTGAGATTCTCTAAAGCTCAGAAACAGTGCTGAAGAGACAGCTGTGTAACTTAGTATAAAAGGTAAAAGAGAACCTGAGTCTCTGTGAGAGACTAATACTGAAGATCATGAGCTTCTCATGTTATATCTTACAATTATTGAATTGATAAAGAATGAAACAGTCTACAATCTTTCAATCTGACTACTTTTGAAATTTATTAATAAGTTATAGAAGAGAGATATCTCTACTACAGCTTGAATTCAGAAGTTGAAGAAGAAAGAGTTCAGTTTAAACTTGAAAGAGACAGACTCTGAGTAGAACAGTACTGTTAAGAAATCAAGTTACTAGTAACTAGAAGAATGTGAACTTCTACTGCTGAATGATTCAGTCTTTGTCTCTCATAGCAGAACAGTGTGTCAGAAGTTATTAAGAATTCATCATAATAATTCTCATACAGAGTACTTCAGGTTAGAGAAGACTGAGAAGCTTTTAAAATATAAATATATTTAGAACAAGCTTCAGACAGATATTAAAGAGTATATTAAAACTTATAATATCTGTTAAAGAATAAAGATTCTGCAGTATAAGTAATACAGTAAGTTGATATCACTGCCTATTTCAAAGAGCTTATAACAGAATCTATTAATGAATTTTATAGTTGATCTGTCAAAGTCAATAAGAGTTAAAGAATATAACTCAATTTTGATCATTATTAACTACTTTATAAAGATAATCAGATATATTTCTACTTATAAAAAGATTAAAGCCTCTGAATTGACTGACCTGTTTTTAGATATTATTATTCATGATCACAGTGCTCTGAAATCATTGATAATAGATTAAGAATCTCTCTTCATCAGTAAATACTGATCAGCTTTTTACTATTATCTTATAATAAGATGTCTTCTTAGTACTGTATTTCATCTGCAGATCAATGATCAGACTGAATATCAGAATCAGACACTAGAATAGTATCTTTAAGTGTTCTATTCATATTATCAGAATAATTAGCTCAAATATCTTCTAACTACTGAATTCATATATAATAATGCAAAGAATGTAATCTTAAAGATATCTTCTTTCTATACTTATTATGAATATAATTCTTTATTACACAGTGATGTTATAGATAATATTTCAAAGAGAGAAATAAATAGTCAGAATATCAAACAGATACAGAGAATAGAGTATTTCTCAGTATCAGAAGTAAAAGTGAGATTGAAACTTTTAAATAAAATTCATGAGAAGACAGTAAAAAGCATTCATCACACTCAGAAGCAGTAGATAAAATACTATAATTAAAAACATCTTTTAATGAAGTTCTTAATAGAGAATCAAGTACTACTTTCAGCAAAGAATATCAAGATAACAAGATTATATAAGAAGCTCAGTAAGCAGTGACTAGAATCTTTCTCAGTAACAAGAGTAATGAGTAAACAGATATATAAGTTAAAATTACTCACAGAATTAAAATCAATTTATTCTGTTTTTCACATTTTCTATTTAAAGCTCTATAAGTAATACTCTGAGATGAAGTCATCTCAGCTGAATAATATTGAGATTGAGAGTGATACTGAATATCTTATAAAGAAAATATTGAATAAGTGAATATATTACAGCAAGCTTCAATATCTTATTAAATAAGAAGATTATTTATTATCAGAGAATTCATGAGAACTGCTTGAGTATTTGAAAAATGCTGAGAAAGAGATTGTAAGCTATGAGATGACTAGTAGAGACTGCTCTGTTACATGTCAGAGACATTGAATAAGAAATGTCACTTAAGACTTCTCATTTTTCTCAAAGAGTTTTTTAGAGATGATTTTATAATAGTGAGTTAGTATTTTATAGACTCTGTAGCACTCTTCTTCTATTTTCTCTTAAAGAGTTTTTTAGAAGTTTAATGAGACTATATAAGTATAAAATTTCTGAAGTGATTAGAGAAAAGAGATATTTAAAATTAATAAAAAAGATTAATATTATTGACTCACAGATCACTGCTATTCTAGTGAAGCTGCAGCCTGCTGAAAAAGTAAAAAGAGAGAATCTCAGAGTTTACTCATTAATAATTATACTCTCATTAAACTCATTCTTCACTATTAAAGTCTTCAGCACTGATATCTTTGTCTGCTGAGAAGTTAGCACTGCAGCATTACAGAAGAGCATGAGAAATACATAAAATATCAACTTATCAACTTATAAAGTATCTCAGTCATCTGCTTCAACTGAAGTGAGATTCTCTTTAATCAGTGATTGATCTCTGTAATACTTTCAATGATGATGCTGACTAATCTCTTCTTAGAGTCAGTCATTCTGAGGTGTTTTTTTATCTCAGAGATTCACACTTTCATCTTCTTTTACAGATGAGTAAGAGAGATCTTCTCAGTCTTGATGAAATCTGTCAATGCTTAAAGCTCTGAGATTCTTGCTCTGTACTGCTTAAGCATCTGAGCTTCTTGTCAGAGCTGATATAATGCCTTCTTATAGAGTAGGTAATACTTACAGAGAGATAGAAGTTATTGTTACAGATACAATGAAAATAACAGAAGTGAGAGAAGAAGTGAGTGTATAGAATTCCTCTCTTCTTCAGCTGTTTAACACAGCACAGACAAGTAGTGATACTGATCAGAGACTGTATCAGAGCCTTCTCACAGAGAGAAGACAAAGAAACTGTGAGACTCTGTAGACTCAACTCAGCAGTATTCTGAGCAGGGCTCAGGCATGCTGTGAGAGAGGAACTACAGATTGAGCTTCTCAGAGTCACTGTTCCTGAAACTAAGCTCTCTCTGAGTTTCTCTTCAAATGACCACACAGGGTCATATGCTACTGTATTGACTGGGGGGAGAGGCAGTGTTGTAATGGCAGTGAGAGGAGTGAGGAACAGACTGAACACAGATGAATCAATTAGCAGAAGGGATGACACCTCACTGCAAGGTATAGTGACTATCATCACAGCTGCAAAAGAAGTAGAAGAAGAAGAAGATGTAATAATAAGAGCAGTGCTTTCACAGCTCATTGACACTGCTGTCTCTGCCTTTAACCTGGCTTTCTTGGTGGTCACAGAGGCTGTCACCACACCATGAAGATGTTTATTCACTAGAAAATGTCAGAATAAGTCCTCTACTGTTCTTCAAGAATAATACTCTCATGCACTCACTATTGCAGATGAGAGAGAGAAGAGAAAAATGTGTTATAAGAGAGAAGAATCTTTTTAAAAAAATCCTGCTACTACTGTTAGCTTTATCTCTAAAATACATCACTTTTATAGAGAATTTCATATATAGAATGAAATATATTGAAAGATCTGTAAGTCACTTATTAACTATATTTTTCACATTTTAAATTGATATATAAGAAACTCACTTCTCACATGTTTAATTTGAATGAAGATGAGAAAAGAAAGATCTATACAGTCAGCAGAATAACTCATCTATTTCTTTGTACAGTATACATACTATCAATCAGTTAGCAACTGTTACTATATAATAAAGATAATTTCTAATCTGATAATCTTAAGAGTATCAGAACTATGCTCTTAAAGAGAAGAGCATTGTCACACTCTCAGCTGTGTCAAGACTCTATTATAATTTTACACAGCTCATCACTTTCATGTGAATGATTTCATTCTGTCTGAACTGGTTTTCAATCACTCTATGATATTATTCAGATATATCATAGAAAGATCTGATTAATAAATATGAGAATCTCACTTCTATATAAGATCAGCAGATTACTCTTTCTTGATAATAAGATACTACTGAGGTATCACTTCAGCTATTCTCACTTATGAAATGAAAGAAGAGTATTCACTCATTGTCTATATAAAATAGCTAGATACTGACTTCTTATCAAAGAAGTCAGTGATTTGTTTTTCTTCTACTCAAATATATATAAGAGTTACTATGTATCTTATACAATCTTCTTAGTATACTAAGTATCATATCTGTGATATTCTCATAATAACTCTGTAGTCTATAAGCTCGCTATTCAAGCAAGATAGTCAAGCTCACTTATACAGCTTCTTAAACAACTACTTCTATATGATGCTACTGACTAGTCACTGCTTTAATTCTGTCATGTTACACTTATTCTCTTTATCTATAATATCACTCATCAGAATATCAGAATCAGATATGATATTAAATCTTAGATTAAATTAATATCTTGATCTCTTTCTTTCATAGATCACTACTCTTGACTTTATCTCAGACTTTTGAGATAGAAAGCAGTAGTAGCTTGAATGAGAAATAATGTATTTTTACTCAGTATCAAAATTCAGTTTTTATTATTATTATTATTATTCTTTCATTATACTCATATGCAAGCGGAGCTTATGATGAGTCCTTGTGTGATGTTAAATACAGGTCAAGTGTTGATTATACAGGAGGAAATACAGGTGTTGAGACCATGCCAAGATCAATAAGAACATAGGAAAATACAAAGAAGTGACAATTAGATACATGTGATAATAACTTCTCAGCCCAGGAACATAGAGCAATTCATTGGAGTGATTTGTACACCTCTGTATTTATTAGAAACCTGAGGTGCTTGAGTTCCAGATTTAATGTATCCCCTGCGGGTTTCGAACCCACGCATCTTGGTTTCCCACACCAAGGCACTACCAGGTGGCTGCATTAACCATTCAGCCATTGGGACAAAATTCAGTTTCTGAAGCAGTATAAAATCAACTTTTCATTCAAATACAATTTGAAGATAAGAATAAATACAATTTGAGTTTCTATTCATATTATTTTAAATAAATGTGATTTTTAAAGAGTTTTTAAACTTTTTTTGTTATTTTTGTTATATATTCATACTAAAAGAGAGTAGAGATAGAGTAGAATCTAATTACTATTATCAGATAGTAGATTATAACTATTTTAAAAAGTAGAAATCTCAACTGCTTATATTATATCTAGTTTATTATCAGAGTTATTTCTCAATTCTCTAATCTTAACAGAAATTTGAGAATTCAAATTCTATTTACATTTAACTGAAGAATTGAAGTTTGAAGATTTAAATAGTTAAGAGTTTCTTCTTTTTAAGCTTGCAGTTGTAAGTTTACTGACTTGACTCTTCTCTTTAGTTTTAGATTGACTTTGATCTTTATCTTTTCTTCAGTTCTTTTGAGTTTCTCAAGTAAATATACATTCTTTTGAGTTAGATGCATGTTTTTCTTTGTAATTAGAGCACTTAAGCAGAGTGTATTAATATATTTCATCTCTTTTTGAGCATGTTTCATATTTATACTTACTAGTTTTATAATCTCTGACACAGAATGCATATTTTGAGTCTCTAAAATATGAGATTACAAAGTATTCATATCTTTGACAGTTTGAACACTGTGTTTGAGCTTTGAGGTTCATTCTTAAGTCTTTGTATTCATGAACTCTCATTTTCAAATCTACTACTCTTACTTCAGACATCTTTGACTGTTCAAGTGTCTTTATATATATTAGAACAGAGACATTTCTTCTGCTTTATCTAAACTTAATTGAATTTAGTTATACAGACTCTTTTCTCAGTTGAATAGAGTTATATTCTTCCTATTCATTTTTAAGAAGTAGTATATCTTCTTCACAGTCAAAAATATCAACTGAAATATTATAAAGAATGAATTTGTCTCACTTTTCATCTCTCTTAGATTGAATTATTATGTTTAGCAAAGATTCTACTGCTGATTTTCAGAGATTCTCATTCTAAATAAGAAATTCTGCACTGAATTCAGGCATTATAGTCAGAATAATGAAGTTTTCAAAGAATGATGACTCAATTGAAGCTATAACTGATTTTTGAAATTCAATATTAGTTATCAACTGAGAAAAGAACTGCTGATTAATTTTATTTCTGATTCTGAAAATGAGATTTGAGTTTAGCTTGTTTCTTTGTAAGATATTCTGATTTAAGACTTTGAGAATAAGTCTTCTATTTCTGAAGATTTGAAAGTTTTTCTCTTTTTACATTTTTTTCTCTACTTTTTTATGAAAAGAAGTATGAGCAGTATTCTTCTCAGTTTTCTCAGGATTTTGAGCAGATTTTGAGATAGTAGATTTAGAGAGAGCAGATTCAGCTGCTTGAGCATATGTTTTCTTCTGATTTAAAGAAGAAGAAGAAGTAGAAAAAGAAGAAGAGTAAAATAATAAGTCAGTGATTATACTAGGAATTTTCAATATTTTTTGAACTGTGTTTGAAATTTCAAGTTTAAACTTAATCATCTTCTGTAGTTGTCTAGCTTGAGCATGAAGAATTAATAAAACTTCTTCATTTATCTCACTTAGATACTCTTTTTCAAGAATCTTGCTTACTTTTTCAAGTTTCTGTATTTCAAGAACTTATTATTTCTCTATTTCTTCTTTCTTTCTTCTCTTCAGAATTTCAATCTCAGAAATAGTACTTGAGAAAGCATCTTTTTCCACATTAACTGAGTGTATTTTTAAACTCATTATTCTCACTCAATGAAAAGTTAATCAGACTGTTTCAATTGAGATATTTATTGAACTCTTTTAAAAAGTTAGTCAGACTGTTTCAATTAAGAGATTTCTAAGTCTGTTTTCAATTGAAAAGTTGATCAGACTATTTTAAAAGAAGAATAACAGACTTTTGTATATAAAATACCTGATTTTTTTCACACTAGTTCAGTAACTAGATTAGATTTTTAAAGAGAATCTAATAAACTAAAATTGATTTTTAAGATAAATCAATAAAATCTTTACAATCTCTTTCTTAAGATACAGTGAAGAAAAGTATGATATCAATTAATAATAAATCAGATAATATAACAGTTTTTGAGAGAAAAACTAATAAAAAATAAATCAATTTTTTACAGAGAAATTAATTAAAACTATTTAATTTTATTCTAAATCATTTAATTCTTCTCACACAACAAGTGTACAACTCAAATCAGTTAATAAAGAGTGTAAAAAAGAATTAAGTATTAATAAAAGCTCTTCAGTCATTGAAAAAGTAATTCTTACTTAAAAGAATATAAAATTATAATAGAAAATAACTCTGTTTTTAATTCTTTGTAAGAATATTGTATAAAACTCAGAGAAAAACATCTTACTTTTTCAAGAGAAGTAAAAAACTATTTCTAAGATCTTTTTTTTTTGCATTAACTGCTGTAAAAGAATAAGATAGAAACTGCTAAGATATATACTACTGTATACTCTCTATCAAGACTTTCTCTCTTCAGAGTCTTGATATTATAGAGAATATAAGTCTGTTTCTATATAATAATATAAATATTATCAGCAGAATGTGAAGAAACTGATTATTTATATCTCAAAATAGAAGACTTTATCAATGATTATATTACTATAGAGTTAATTCTTAAATTTAATAGAAATCTAGTATTGCTGTTCTCAATCTCTTACAGAATCTATTAAATATTGAAATATTAAAACTAGATTTAATATATCTTACTATACAGAGATCAAAGACTCAGTCAGATCTTGAAATATACTGATTCTATAGTTGTTGTATCTGCTGATTATTTATTAAGTACAGTTGCTGAGATATCTCTTTGTATTTTTCTGTCAGAGATGAGCCAGATCAGAAGAGATGATACAAGAGTGAAACTTGTTGTTGATGTCTTGATACATCAAAGACAGAGAGAGTTTTTCACAAAGAATGCACTTCAGATGTGTCTGTTAATTATGTACTTGATACTATTGTCAAGGTATCTTTTTGTATTTTTCTGCCAGAGGTGGGCCAGATTGGGAAGAGCGGTACATGGGTGGGACTTGGCATTGATGTTTTGAAACATCAAAGATAGACAGGGTTCTCATGGAAGTTGCTTCTCAGATATCTTCACAATTACAGATCAGAGATCTTTTAAAATCAAGAAGATTGATATATATGACTAGGTCTCTTCACCTTACAATTTGTATGACACTTTGGCCCAAGGTTGTGATGTGATAGGGGTGAATAGGGGATAATCCCACACAGAAGTTTTGAGCAACATCTGGTTCACATTTGGCTGGATAACTTCAACACCACACAGAGTATGTGGTCGGTGATGGGGTCAAAATGCTCGTATGATTGAGGGCTTTTCAATGAACCTATCAGTGGGTTCTTATTTGAA